ACACAGACTCTTGTTTGACTTTTCCAAGGCTGTTATATGCTGCTGTTCTATGCTGCATGTGTTTTTCTTCAGAATAAAAGAAAGGAAAGGGGAAGATCCCTAAGTGCCACCTGCTATTTCCCAAATAAAATATGCTGATGGAAAATCCTACTTAAGAAGACAAGAAAAAGAAAAGGTACTTGGTATATATGCATCAAGAGAAAAAAAGGCAATTCTGCTCAACAAATAAGAACAGTCAGTTCAGAGAAAAGTCATATAAAATATTACAGTAATTATCTTTGTGTAAGAAACCTGGGGATAATGAGCATACATTTTACAAACACTGAGTTGCTCCTGCTGAATGACTGAGGACTTCTGACACTGGCAGAAGTGGGCTCTGGACAAGCTCTCTAAGTTCTCTTGGAGCTCTCTGTCCAGGCTGTCCTCTCTGCACATCTGAGTCACCAACACATCAAAACTTTGCCGCATCCATCCTGTTTCTTCATGGCATGTGAGCTCCAGCTGTGCTGGGTTCTGGGGCTGCAGAATCATGTCCAGGGAGGCTACAGTTACCAGAAACCAGCATGGGACACCAACAAGATGGGCTTCTGCTCAGGAAACCATTTATTCACCACAGGTACAAGCTCAGCTTAGATCCAGAGACAGAGAGCTCAGAAGAGAGGCAGGGTGGTGGGTTTTGTGGGACAGAACCAGGGTGGAGTTTAAGGTCAGGGACCACTAGGAACACAGCAAAGGAGAAACCCCAGGGACTCAAACCCAGTCAGAACTCCTGGGCTGACACCCCAGGAGGGGTCTGGGGTGGAGTTTCTTCCAGGGCTCACAGGACACATCCCCTGAGGCAGAGGTTTAGAATTCACATTTCCCGGGCTTAAAGCCACACCTCTCACTTTAACAATGCTTATCTGAAACTAAATCTTTGCCCCCCTGGGCGGGGGGCCACCTCACAAGCTGAGGAAAATATTTCATTTCAGGACACCAAGTACTTAAGTCCCATTCATATCCAGGTTCAGTTCAGGAGGGGGAAGCAGAATATCATGAATTGAACAATTTTCCTAAAATAAAGGGCTGTTGTTTTAAATGTGAGATGTGTAGCACTTTTAACCAAACACAGAAAATCTGTTTCCTTCTAAGACTGCCACAGACGAAGAAATATTTTTTTTACAGAGAAACAACTTTTCCTTAGCTGCGAGCCTCCAGAGGACAGGTAATGCTGTCATACCTTGCTTGGGGAGGCAGAAAAAGGAACACACAAAAGATGTAAACAATGGACTGTTTAGCCTTAAATATTACCTACTACAATAAATATGTTTGAAACAGGAATTGATGGGAACCACAAAACCTTGCTAGCTAGCAACAGAAAACTTAATCTCTCACATGCATTTTGATGTTCTTTAAGAATAATTTAATTAGATACATGAAAGCACTACCCCAAGCACATTAGGTGTAACACAAGTAGAATGGAGAAATTGCCTTTTGAGAAGGATTTTGCTTGGGCACAGTGTGCCCATCCCTAAACATTTCAGAATATAAAAACACCTATCTAGATTCACAGTTAGTCATCACTAGTTTTTACCAGAGCAAAGATACTCTCAAATCCTCACAATTGAAAACAAACCAATGACTTGTTGTCATCATAATCTATTGGCATCTCCCCTTCCTTCCAAAAACATGGGGAAACTTAAGTTTTACAGTGTCACCTGAGAGCCTACAATTCTGCAGAGACTATAAGATGTATATCTCCACCAGCCAAGGAGCTATCCATCAGCTGCAAGGCTAACACCCTCCTGATCCCTCAAGGCACATCAGTTTATCTTCACTGATGCAGAATCAAAAAAAAGGGGAGATGGTTTCTATAGCAAAGTTCATAACTGTTTAAAAAACCAGACTAAATTTTTTTTTCAAGCAATGGAGTGCAGACATTGCTGGCTGTTAATGGAACAGCCCATCACAAATAAAACACAGCTGAAGTTTGGCTCTGGTCTCATGGTGTAACTGGATGTAGGTGCATTGCAGAGATCTAATCTTGAGATGAAATTGAATACAGCTTCATCACCAAGTAGATTAGATTAAAACACTCATAGCTACTGCCATGGGCATAGACAGAAACCATTAAGGACTCCAAAGGACTTTCAGATTTAGAGAGATGATACTAAAAGCTTGAAAAATTTCATTAAGAGTGAACACTAAAGATTAGTATTGACAATCCTCTTCCCTCATGTGGGTCTCACCTACCAAATGATTTTACCAGCTAGAGGGGAGGTCCAGCACTATCTTACCAGTGGGTTCAAAAAGTTCTCCAACAGGTTCAACACTGTATAAAGGTAACAAAAATATTTATCATCACTCCAAGAAACCACTCTACTGCTCCCAAAAATTAAGATTATAGACTTCACCTTGACTGAAACTATCTTATTAAAACTTCTCATTCAAAAACCAGCCAGCAGTGTAATCAGATTATGCCAGTGAGAACTCATAAGTCTTCAATAACCAGGAGCAACCTGTTGATCAAATGAGACGTCATTTGAGGGACACACCAAGCCTACTAATAGGTGACCAAACATCTCCCACCCTACAAAATTCACAGATGCAGTCAGGGAAAAAACCCTACAACACATTAGGAAAAACATGCAGATTTTTGAGAAGCAACCACAATGAAACCAACACAAATTGATAAATTAAGAACTTCGGTTTCTTATGGACAATTTCAAATAATCTTTTCCTGTCTATCCAACATGAGAAATAACATTTAAGACAACACAGAATAAAAACAGAGGCTATAGAGGGAGGTATCTGTTGACCACAGGCATCAGTATCTTCTTTTTGCTCATCTGTGTTTGTGGACAACATTGCTCACTTGTAGGTAGTGTTGCTGTTCATCAAGCACTACCATAGCTCTGGAGGGACTAATCATATCATGGCAGGAGGCTGTCCAAAACGACCCATTAGAGATTTCTGTCTTCAACATTTCCAACTACAGGATTCTTGAAGGCCAGTGATTTGAAGCTAGTGATTCAGAACAGCAGCTGGTTTCAGTAGGCACAGAAAATACTTGCTCTGTCTAGCCAGTTTTTATACAACTCTGTCATAAGAATATTCAAGTGCTTTTGTTCTTTGCAAACACTTAGAGACAGGAAGGTTTGTTGTGCATATATCTTTGCATTTGGTTCACTTTACACATCCAGCAGATATGTGGAAATGTAAATGAGTTGCACAATCTCAGGAAGTTAATCTATGTAATTATAAACAATGGATAAATTTAATTTGAAAAAAATGGAAGAGAAAATAATTGAAAAATTGAGGAAGACAGGTACAAGAATCTCTTGTAGTCTGGTCTGAGAGCAATCTAACTGGAAGTTGCCATGGAATAGATATATCATTTCATGTCTGCCTACTCCCAGGCAAGGCTGAAAAATGTCCATGGGCTTCTGTCAGTTATTCTCCTCTTACTCAGAAATGCATCGTCATTCAAAGGTAATCACGTATTTCTTTGCCTCCAGCACCCTGCCTGAACAATTTAAGTGTCTCTTCATTGACCCCACAGGCTACTCTTTTATCAAGAGTTTATTAGTGTTCTACCCTGCCAGACCCACTTTCTTTTTTTATTTTTTTGTCTCAGATCACAATGCCTGCACAGATATTTTAAAGAAGACATGACAATATTTTGGACACATTCCCACTTCTTCTCATCATATAAGAGCAAATCGCCAGATATGTTCTAGAACTATTGTATTAATGAAAAGACACAGATAGTATTATCCCTAATGATATTAACCACTTTTTGCCACAGTATCCAGATGCCCTGTTCCTATTTGGCATCAGTTTACATAGCCTCAAGGGAAGACTGGGAAAGACCACAAAGCAGAAATGTATACAGGGTTTTTAAACACTTCGGAACTGCATCCATGTCATGAAATTCTTCAGCCATGAGTAGCTGAAAGCTGGGAGAATACTTAGGGGAGGCATCAGATATGCAAGGCTGGTTCTCTACTCTTACCATGCATACCCTCTTATGGCTATTGTTGGAGCCAGGATATTGGGCTACACTGACCTTTGTTCTAAACTAATATGCCTCTTATGTTCTTATTATGTTCTTATGTTAAGCAGGAAAAGAATTTAGCCTCTGGATAACACCCGGTTGTGCTTGAATTCAGCAGCAAAATTCCTTTCCATTGTTTCAGATCTGAAAAATTAATTACCAAAAAAAGAAGTGTGCACACAAGTATATGAAGTTGTGTTGGTACCAGACATAGAAGATTATTTTCTTTATAATTAAGAAACTCACAGGATTTTTTTATATCTACATAGATGGGGATTTTTTCCCCCTGAAAAACATGTAAGCCAACCCCTGCTCCAGACTCCAGCAAAATTTACCATTATGAAGGTATTTTAAATAGGTCTCTGCACCATCCGCCTAAGAAAAGACTCGGTAGCAAGAATTTCTGAGTGTGAAGTCTCAAGAGATTTTTAGGCAGAACAGTTCTGTTCATGGCCTGGTAATCTTCACCAGAATATGTACGGTTTCTTAGATCTTTAGATCCAGACTCTGGGCTCATCCAGACATTCGCAATTTAGTTGCAGCTCACAGAGTGGTATTGATTGATTGACTGATTGATTGATTGATAATATTTTTTTGAATTATGTAATTTTATAATGACATGATTTTAACTCTGTTCAGATGGAGCTGCAGCCCCCTTCACTGAAATTTTTTGGAGATGCATAATGACTTCTGGAAATATTTTGCATTTCTTACTGATTATCAAGTCTGATTCTCTCACTATCTACAACAAATACTGTTCCACAGATTCTACCTGGATAGGTAAGTATTTAGGCATTTCTGGAAGATCTGCATAAGCACTGTGAATAAACACTTGGCTATGTTGAAGACAATAACAACTTGTATTAAGGGTCAGGATGCCTTACAGAAGGTTGAAAAAAGATACAGAAAAAGTGCAACAGGAAATACACAAACGTAATTGCACAATAGAAAATTCTGGGTCATATCTTAAAATGGACATGCAGACATCATTACTTACCAGCAACACATCAGGAATTTATTTCCTCCACACATCACAAGCTGGAAAGCAATTTTGCATAGCTGCTTGTTTTGGTGGGACTATACAAGCTGAAGTGAAATCAGACAAAACCACACGGAACAGCAGAAAAACAGAAGAGGCTTAATTCTAAGTGTTTCTGAGCTTGGCATAGGAATAAGGAAATTAGAACACGATGAATATTAATATTTAGATTGCCTGTGCATCAAGAGGTAAAACATCTCAGAAAAGCTACCTCTGCTGTGCATATCAACCTCTTATTCTTTGATGCTTTGTAATACAAACAGTAATCAGATAAATATACACAGAGAGCCCAAAAACCTACAGTATTTCACAATGTCACATCAAGTGAGGGATTCTTTTGATTTTTTTTCCAGACCTGCTCATGTGCACAATTTCTTTATGCCTCATTTGCTATAAAAATATTGGTTGATGAACAATGAATAAGTAGACATATTTAATTGTATTACCAAGAATGAACTGTCTTTTTTTGGCTTTGTCTTCATTTTGCAAGCCCATGTATCTTAACCTTCATAATGGCTGTTTACATCAATAAAGTCAATTTATTTACTGAATTGTATTTGCATAGTTATTTATTTATACTTTATTCTTTAGAAACCCAGACGTTTACCATAGTAAATTTGTGAATAAAGTTTCAAAGAAACTTCAAACATGCATGAATCTGATGTGCTCTGTTTCAAGAGATGTCTAACTTTGACGACATCAGTAGGACTGCTCTTCTGCTCACAGCTACCTAAAACACCTTCTGAACAGGAGATGAAAACACATGAGGTAGAGGTGGAGATGGTGTCAGTTTTTGGTAGTCTGTGATTTCTGCCACCTCCTCCTCCATGAGGGGCTCAGTAGAAAATCTGAAATTTATATGAACAAATAAATACATATGATTTGTGGAAAACCCACAGACAAAACACACACAAAGTATAATCCAGAACAGATAATTTTTTATATTTTTAGAAAGAAATACTATCTTAAAACAAGTCCATATCCAGCTACTTTATTCTTGTTAAGATTATTCCATTATAAAACCTCAGAAAGAGAATTATCACTACTATCTGACACTATAAAAAAATTGATCTGAATGGGAACGAGCTTTATACATGGTAGACAAAACAGGATGATATCAAATGTTGGCTGCTGTTACTGACCAAGTCAGCAGATTAAGACTACAAGCTGGTTAAATGTCTGGAAGGAGGAGGTAGCATTTACATGGAAGATGGATACGATTGCGACAGTTAAATAACCTATTTCTTAGGAAAATGTAACAAAAATTAGTTTGCCCTTTCACCAGCCATTTCTGGTGAGTGTCACTAAGGTACTACTTGGAGCAATACCTTTTTTTCCTTTGCAGGAGGTCTCACAGATATTGTAAAAGCACCTGCCCCATGTTTGATATTTAATAAATATCAAGGAAATTTAGAGTTTCTTGAAGTACTTCTCATGCCCAGCTCCATTTCCATTCTGGCCAAAAGAGCAGAATATTTTTATCTGGCAAATGCATAACGACCCACTGGCTGAACTTCATGTAGGTGAGGTAGTGTTATATGCTGTGAAAATGAATGAGAAGTATGACCTGGTTTTTTGTTCATCAGAAAAAAAAGGCCCTTTGTTATTTGTACTGGCAGTGTGTGGTTAGGTTTTAAGTCAGTGTAAAACTGTGAGGGAGCAAAGGAAAGCTGAACATCTTTGCAAAAGTTCCTAGCCTTAAACTACAAGTTACTGTTCTTAGCTCTGCAGTATAAGCTCATCTCTCAAGGACAAACTTCATTAAGTATTGTGTAGTCTTCATCATCTCTAACTCAAAGCAGCCTACCCAGTCAGAAACTGAAATTGTTGCAGTATGACAGGCTTGCAAAAGAGTTTGTCTCACTGGGATCTGTGCTGGCCACCAACCAGTTTCCTGATGGCATTTAAGGTTGTTGACTTAATGCCATGCTGGCAATCTATCAGTGGGGAGTTGAGTGGGTGGTACCCTTCTGCCCCTGTTGACAAGACTCAGGATGGAACATGCTTGATAACACATGAAAGACTAACTTGGTGCTGCCCACGTTGCCTCTCATCAACACAGTGACTGCATCCACCCTAAGAGCCCTAAATGGCATTCTGCTTGTGAAGAGGTTGCCTCCCTCCTGTTTAAATGGGGCAGTGGTGATCAGTCTCAGAATATGAGATCAGGAGCTTGGACTCAAAAATTCTTTCACTCTAGAGCAGATGCCCAGAGTAAATAAAAGCCAGAAAAAAAAAAATCAGATACATTTTTCAGAGGTTTTATAACCTTCATATTATGAGGGGGTTTTAAAATTCCAGCCAAGTCCAAAATGAACAGCATTTGGGCCACCAAAATTTAAAATAGAAAGATTTTGCTTTCAGGTAGTTAAGATGATTCATTAAGCTTTAACTTTGATTTTTTACATCCTTCCACAGTACTTAAAACAATATTTAAAGACATTCAAAAGAAAAATGTTTGGAAAGAGGAAAGTGAAAGTCTGTATTCCCAAAGACATCAAAACAGGATGTTTTGACAATGCCAGGAAATTTTTATCAAAATTTTTTGCCCAAATTCTCTTATAAGGAAATGACATTATTTCATATAGTATTTTGATTTTCACTAATTTCATTTACTTTAGTAACACAACACAAAGAATCCATAGAAGGATGAAACAATGCATGCTTATCAAGTAAAATGCTGGCTTATTTTAAACTATTCTATCAGCAGAAGTACACCTCATCTCCAGGTAAGATTGCTATGAAAAAATACTCGTTGCAAGAAAGCATGCCAGAGAAAGTAGGAGAAGGGAACTGGAAAAAACAGAGCCTTATGATGAAACAGATGGAATGAAAACATTTGGCAAATATCAGTGGTGGGCTATTTTTTGATATAGCTGTTAGGTTTCTCTAGTGTGAAAAGTCAAATAGTTTGGCTAATAGTTACACATGCACATTAGAATTAACATATAAGCATCAAAAAAGCATTGCACTGAGGTTTTTAAACAAAGAAAGAATTTTACTAAAGCTAGCATTCAAACTATGAAAGGTCCAGCAGTCTTGCTGTCCCTTTACAAAGGTTTGCACTTTACCCTTCCCTACTTGCAGTTTCTTCCACATAGCAGGATTGAGGATTCTCCCAGTAGCTGAGACCAGAGGTTTTCCTCCACTAGGCCTGATAATTTCAAGCTATTCTGTATATGAAAGAACCACTACAGAAGGACAGATAATGGGAAAAGGAAAATGAATCTGACCTGGAAACACCACATTATTCCCTGGAAGTCTTTTTTCTCCCTGGTATCAGACACTGGGAATAAGAGTTGTGCTGGCTTCTTTGACACCAAGAGGAGTTTTGAATTTCTGAGCACAAAAGTAAATTAAAATTGTAAAAACCAGTTACAATAAAGTAAAAACTACAACAATATGTCACTGTATTTAGCGTCTCTGTGCTCTATCACAGCACAATTAAAGAATATTAAAGACCTTTACATTTGTATCACAGCAGTGCAAAATTTAAAACAATAAAACAATAAACTGCTTTTTCATAATGCCAAACTACCTTCTCCACTTTTCTCATTCCCGCCTCTGAAATTCTCCTTGAATTCATCTTTACCTTGACCTTGCTTCTGCTGAAGTCCTTGTTCACATTTTAATCACTTCACATCTTGAATACTGCAATTCATTCTATGGTCTGTTTAAATCCCAACTCCCTCTAAATGTCAAGAGGTCCAGAATGGTGTAGTCAGATTAATTTCTTGCTCCATGCATGGATAAACAATATGATAGAAGGCGTGTTTATGTGCAGTAAAACTGAGAAGCTGCAATAGAAGAAGAGGTGATCATATACAGAAGAGGAATGGCAGAGAACAGACATACTGAAGCTAGAAACCAGTTAACATTCTCAGACATTACTATGACACAATAAAATGTCTACAAGAATATAAGTAGCACCAAGATCAAGACACTTGGAAATCCAGGCTTCTCTGTCATCGCAGACAACAAATATCTACTCTGGGACTTTGGTAGTTCCTCTGCCTCCCAAAACAGTAGCACACATTTGGTACCAACATCTAAGGCTCTAAGGTCTTCATAAGCACAATGCAACTGTTGTGTAGGTAAAGACTTTTTTCTCTCTGCAGTCAAGGAGACAGTCAACTCTTCAGGCTTCCTTGCCCAGCCAGAAGCTATCACACGACATTTTGTTAACTATGAAGCAGCAGTGTAAAGAAACTACTTGCCAGAAGAAGCTAGAGCACAGGTACCCTATGTAAGATTGTGCAATTCTGCAGTGATATAGGATCCTAAAACTTTAGAAAGATTTGTTATATAAGGTGTCCTTCTTTTCTGGGAATTTTGTGAGTTGTTCTGCACTAAAAAAAAAAAAGGAGTATACAGATGATAAGAAAGTCCAGATGCCTGTAACCCTGCTTGAAATTGATGAAATGTTGTGGCTACTTAACTTCTCTGGAATCACTGAAAATAGATGTTGAATTTTGCCTGGAATATCTTCAGTAGAAAAGGTTTTTATCCCATATTAATTATTATACACTCAACAGCAAAATTACCATGAGGCAAACTTGATTCCAGCCTTCTCTTCTGGCTCCTACCATGCCTCTGACACTAGTAACACTAATCAAAGAAACATATCCTGATTACAATAAAAAAAAGCCCCAAAATAATAATTTAACTCACTGATGCAAAAGATGCCTCGTCCATTGTTTCTATATACTCCAGAATCATATTCAATTTTGTAAGAAAGCATTTTCCTCACCCGAATGTCAATTAAAAACCCTAAAACTAACAAATAAATCCCTCCCTGAAACAGTAACACATCTCAAGAATGCTTGCAAACCAGTGAATGAAAACAACATAGTTTGGATTATTCAAATATTTAATTTCAGTAGTTTTGATAATTAATTTTTTTCCCATATTAATGGCTCAAATCAGTGAAGAAAACTTTATTCTGAATCAAGAACCAAAAAATTTACAAGGAGCAGTTCTAAGAAGTAGTTTCAGGTTCAAAAGTTACCCAAACCAAGCTCTTGCTGAAAGAAGCACACCTGCTTCCACCCTCTGTTTTTCAGCTGGCTTAAAAATAAAATAAAAAAAAATCCCAACCATCTGTAGCTGTTTCTATAAAACCGGTTAGCAAATCTCTTTCTGCCCACCTGTGGCTGCTCCTTCAGACAAAGTGCATAGGCCTGGAATGGGGCGGTGACCTTGTGCTGAAGATGAAGCTGAGTGCCCTAGAGCTGGTTTCAGCTTGGTTATGTGCCCATCTAAGCCAATTTCCAATTATTTCAGGTGCAAGTTTTAGCATGTGCAGTAGCCCTCCCACTTCGTTTCCTCTCCTAATTACCATATGAAGACTTGCATTAGATGCCCACAGGCATTTTGCAAATTCAAGGATTTTCAATTACCCATCCTCTGACAGGCATAGTGTCATCTTTGTACAGCAGCTTTACATTTGTGAATGGGGGCTTGTGCGTCATTGTTGCCAGCAATGAATACCACAGTCACTTCCCTCTCCTGCAGAACGCTGAGCAGCAGCAACCCATGCCCTCCTGAGTAAGCTCTGCTTTCCATCCACAAATATTGCTGGATCTATCTGTGGTGCCAGCTGTGGACAGGAATTTTTTCAGCAGTGGTTCTGTATCATTTATGGTGCATTTCATCAGTGCTGTTCCAACGTGTGCAAATGGAAAACATAACTATGGAGCCAGCAATATCTGAGGGATTAATATGATTTCTCCTTAATGAGAACTCCGTGACCTTTGTTATGGGATATATTTAGTCTGTTTGTTCTCTTTTTTTTAGGTGAAGTATATTCTGCAACATGCTGTGATTTCTGGCCTATTGATTAATGGGTCTTTCCACCACAAGCAATCTTAATCTTTCTTAATTGCCTTAATGGCCTCACGGCCTCTCTTTTATACTCTCTGCCCACTATGTTGTTGTTGCAAATGCTTTTGTATCTTAACTTCATGACTATGCTAAGGACTTAAAGGAAACTGACTGTGAAGTCTATTGTTGCTCTTGTTCTTTCCATTCTTTAAACTCCTGTTTCAGGCTCCTAATATCTGTAGGTAATTTTTGGATGTAAATGTGCATATATTATAAAACAGCTGTCCAGAATTCATCAATAAAGGAGTGGATTTTTTAATAAATTCCTTGTATGGTTCTTCTTTTAGTTTCAGAGAGCTGTAGTGCAAACAAACATATTTATATATATTATTATTCAAATCTGAAGTATTAAAATTAATGGCTAGTGTTCAAATACAGTTGTGAAAATCCCAATTCTACAATTCATAGAAGATTTGAGTAAGTCTTCCCTGGAACGGTTTGCTATGATACATAGAATAAAAGATGAAGAGTCCACAAATAAATATCTGGTTTGTGTCTCTCCTCTCTCCCGGGGGTTTATTTAGAAACAAAAGAAGTGATGAGACAAGGAGCAATCAGATTTTTTTACAGTACATGTCATTTAAATTGCACGATGTCTGGGTCAGTAATGTTTGTTGGACACTGTGTTTTATTTGTGTTGTGAAATAGAAAGGCAGAAGACAGACCAAGCAAATGACAGCAAACGGCTTACTGACTTAATTTTCAACCTACTCTTTCTCTACTTGAAGAGGTGGAATATCAGCAGAAATACATGGACTGCCTGTGTCATCACTAGCCCATGGGCTAAATACAGTATCATCACACGACGTTGACTCACACAGCACAGACACTTGCAGGAGAGGTACCCACACAAAGGAATAATTATAACAGGGGTGATGTTGACATTCATAAGTGACCCTAGGCTCAAAAATTTTAGCCCACAAAGTCTACTCAGGGTACAGTATTCTTCAAATGCTTCCAGGCAAAAAGGAAAAAGTTTAAGAAAAACTTCATCTAAGTGGTGACAGTAGCTTAATCCAAAGTTTTTTATTTGCCTGACACTAAATTATTCCAGCAACTTCCAAGTCTAGATCTAGTCTAGAGCCAGCTGTGCAAAAGCAAAGGCAAAACTGTGAAGGCAGCAACTTCTATGGAAATAATTTCACTCCTCTCAGAAGGGAGAAGGTAATGCACAGTAATTGCAATACCCACAAACAGCAAATCTTTGAAACTGTCAGTAGTCCAGAAATGTGTCACTTAGACCACTGTAATTATGGGAGAAAAGGTGACATTTTGAGCTGGAAAAAGAAACATGCTTGTGGTAGAGTCTTTTTATAGGAAAATGTCACCTGTTTAAAAGCTGTTCAGAATTTTGGCAAGTTAGAAATAATCATGGCTGACATTACTTGGCAAAGAGCAGATGAAAAGATCAAAACTGGATAATAGATAAAAGCAATCCAGCTCATGGTTCCATCTTTCAATTTATAATGGAAGCAGCAATGTCAAACACTCTAAAACCTGACAACTGATGCAGTATGAGCAGGTATGAAAGCAGGGGGAAAATGCCCAGGGGCAAAAAAACCCCCAACAAACCACACGTGATTTGAAAAAGAGAATAATACATTTCACCCAATTAGATATGTCCATATGCATAAATGTGATTTGTTTGCTTAGTTTTGGTGGGATATTAAATATTAGTAGCTAAGATTTACTAAGACTTATGGTTGGTTACCTCTGCAATGTTAGTTTTCATCCTTTCCTCTAGTGTGATGTATCTTATTAATGAAAGCAAGCTTTCATCCTCTGAAAAGCAAGTAAATCAAGGCCTAATAAAGCCTGTCTAACACAGAGGTCAAATTTAACTTGGAAGTTTAAACAAAAATTATGGTTTCACATTTCTATCCAAATAACAGCTTTTTAATAGAATTTTCTGTACAGTTTCCTAGAATGCCTTTTCTTGTTGATTTTGGTGGGCAAGACCAAAAGAAATATTCTTAGAAAGGTTCTGATTCCCACAACTCTAATATTAATTTCACCTTGCACTGTCACCAGGGTTAGGCTCTGCAGATTTAGCACTGACACTGAAACATGAGGTTTGGAGCTCTAGTAACCAAAGTCAGGAAAATACAGTTTTCCCAGTGGTGAAGACAGATGGTCAGAAGGAAGTCAAGGAAATATTTTAATGATGTCTCACTTATTCTCCAACCACTTTTGCTCAGTTCTGATATTTTGTTTTTTAGATATAGCATCTACTGGTAGATGACAGGTAGAGCTAACAAACCAGGAGGGTTTCCTGGAAATGAAATGGCTCCATGACAATAGAAGGAACACCTTTTAGCACCACGTCCACCATCACTCTTCATCAGCATCACCAGAAACTAACTTTTTCCTGGATTCTTACTCCTCTCACAGGCCCAAACTGATGTATAAGGAAGGAAAGAGAGAGAGAGAAAAATCAAAGCGATGTTGCCATGAGAACAGAGGGGCAAGAGAGGCAACAGGAAGTCAACATTTTCTGGAACTAGAAAACATGAGTATTACCATTACATTGATAATTAAATCTTTATGACTCAAAAGACATGTCACTTCCCAACCTCGAGGTTATACTGTGGCGGGTCACACTTCTATGTCCTTGCCCATACCCTGATTCCTCCAAAACCTATTTAAGTGTTTAATTTCACTAACTTAAAGAATCTTCATAGGTTCACCACTGGCATACATCTCAAGGAAGTGGAGGCAAGTGTTTGTGCCAGGACTTAAAACTTCTGTCTTTAGGTACACTCCACTGTTGCATGTGAATTGCCAACCATGTTTTGTGCACAGCAAGCACAATGATGGCAGAAGGACAAAACTGGAAAGGTGAGGGAAGTGAGGATTCATCAGATTCTGTGAAAAGAAAACTGCAGAATTAAAAATGAGTTTGCTCACTGTCTGTAGGATGCCATTCCACCTGGAAATAACAAAAGAGACCCAGAACTACAGCCCCACCAAGAGCAGTGCCTGCATAGTTCTGTGCTGCACCCACAGATATGCCAGAGTCAAAGACATCTCTCTGCTCAAGAGTGTTTCAAGTAAACTTAAACCAGTGGAAGCAAAGAGTGAAAGGGCTGTGTATTACAGCTACAGTATTGCACATCCACAGGGCTGGAAGTTAGGAGACCTGAAATTTTAGATTGAATGCTGTCACTCTGATGTAAAATTAATGCGGAGGGTGTGGAAATAAAGCTGGTAGGAAGCTCTGGAACATAAAGAGATATGTTACCTTTAGCTTACCATTCAGTTTGCATTAGCCTTTTTCTCTTCAGCTGGCCATGCATCTTGCTTAGAGTAACCTTTTTTTGCCCAGCTTCACCCTCCCTCAAATCTGTGTAAATGCAATCACTAAAAGCTCAAGTCCATCAGGGTACATGGGTGCATACATGGTTTTCATTACAAGTCATCTGCTTGCTTTCTGTGATGCTATTTAGGTACTTAGACTCAAATGTATTCTTAAAAACACTCGGAGTCAACCCCTAAGTCAATTTTCCTTTGCCATCTTCCAACCAATGTCATGGGTGTGTTCTTTTCTTTGGCTCCTTGTCTGCCCTTTAAACTCACCATCCCTGTCTGTAGTGCTCTAAAATGTCTGCATACTCGCCAGCATTTCTACACAGATTTTCTTCCCCTTATTTTGTCTGAATTCACTCTCTTGTCTAATGTCATACAGTTCCCTTAACTTGTTTCCTCTGTTCTGGTCTATAAGTAGCATCTGATGTTTTTTCTCCTACTTTTGAAACAGTGTTCCTGGCCTCTGTCTTCATTCAAGTAGCCTTTCAACCCCTTTTGACCATCATTATTATTTTCCACATTGCAGTTCTTCATAAAAAGGCAAGAAAAAGGAGGAACAACATGATGCATGAGTGTTGAGTGTAGAAGTGCTGAGACTCTTCAGAAAATTAAATTATCGTAATTTTATTCTTAGAAATAATCAGTGTACTAAAATCACCAATATTTTTCAGGGTCTATTTAAAATTACAGTTTGATAATATAGATTTTGAGACAGCAGATCCCACTTGATGACTAACAGCATCCAAAAAAACCTGAAAAACCGAAGTCATAAACCTTCTCAGAATGGTCCTGAAAACCACAGAAGATAAATGTCATGAAGCATAGGAAAGAACAGGGAACAGAGCTGCTCCAAGAGAGGACTCTAATTCCTGGCCACATGATTGCTCTTTATCTAGGGTTAACTCTGCACTGAAGGCTGCAGTGTTGTGGAGCAGCATGCTGGCTTAGCTCCTGGAAGTGGGCTTGCCCCAGGAGGTCAAAGTCCCCTGTGGGCATGATCACTGTGCTCCTCAGTTCGATCCCGTGCTGTACCTGACCTGTTTGGTTTGACATTTGTAGCCCTGCAGAGTAGTCACACACCATAGAGGCACAAACAGTTTTGATCTGATGGAGGGAATCGTTGTTGGGTGCAATGATAGGAAATACAATCAGCAACTTCTCCTATTTTTGACAATTCATACATTGTGTAGAAAGAAACCATTACAGTAATTCTGAAACCAAATAAGTAGGGCAAAAAGGGCTTCTCCACACTTTTGCGATCAAGTTGGCATGTCACCTTCAAGATCACTTAAATCTCTTTATCTTTCATCTTGTATAAAATAATTGACTGTAGCCCACTCAGATGCCTACCTGTGCTTTTCCTGGAGTCCCTACAGGATTTCACAAGAGGGCTTTCCAGATGGCCAAACTGTGCACAAGCTGACTGCATTTCTCAGTTGATGACCAAGGTCTTTTGCCCAAGAATTTCTGGTAATTTACAAAAATGTTGTAACATTAGTTTTGAAAGAAATAACTTGCACTGGAGTCTAACTATGTTTGTTAATTTTTCTACCAGCAGCTAGGAAGAAGCTTGAGGAAGGCTAATTTCTCTTGCCAAAAAGAGAACAGATGCTTTGTAACAACCTTTCTAGCCCATAAAAGATTCTTCAGGAATGCTGGCCTAAACCTTTAGAAAATATTTCATAACAATAAAAAATGCTCTGAACATTTTACTTCCAGCAGGACAGAATAATCTGTTATGTGAAAACCACATGCTGAATCTGTCCACATATTTTCCCTGCAAAACATTTTCTAATCATGCTGTTAAAAGGGATGAACATATTTTAGAATATTAAAATTTGATTTTGCAAAGACAAATTTCAATATTAAAACACATATACTGACTCTCAGATGAATCTTTTCTGATATACTTAATACCCAAGCTAAATAACTAATCCACAGAGAACAGGAGGTGGACTCAGCAACTGAGTAAGATTACAATTTTAGGACATACCGTAGAGGACACAGGGAAATGCAATCTCATCATTTTCTTAACAATATTCACTATATATTGGTTAGTCAAAACCACCTGGAATATAAATCAGAAAAAGCCCCAACATCATGCATTCACATTGAAATTGTCTCATAGGCCTGAGACCTGCCTAGTACACAACTGCAGCTGTCTAGTTTTATCCTTCAGAAAAGAGGCAGAAACTACTATGTGAACTGTATTTCATTCAGTGGTCTATTTAGCAATAGGTACTTCTCAACTTTGATATACAGCCCAGAGGGAAAATACAGCCCAGAGGGAAAAATTACTCTCCAAGAAGAGCTGATCAATCACAAAATTAGTGGAACACAGTAACCATTAATCATGAATTGATGAAAAATCAGTGCATGATTACTGAGACAAAAGATCTGGCAAGGGTTCCTAAAAAAAGTCACTTTTTTTTAATAGCAGCAAGGGGTCAAAGCAGAAGAAACGGAAACGGCATTACAGACACTGTATTAATGCACACATACTCTGTTATGTTCACTGATGTACACAATAATGTGTTATGGTTGTTCATTAATGCCTATAACACTGTGTGCATATGAACATGGTAGAGAGTGGAACAGTCCCACATGCAGCATGTGAACTGTTGCAGGGAGCAAACTCCTCTTGAAAACAATCTACCTGAGAGACACTATTTTTCACATATAGGATAATACATATAGGATATGCAAACATAGATGGAAAAACATAGCTAAAATACCAATTTTCTTCACTTTCTTTCACCTAACTCAGCAAAATATAAATTTTTATTAGGCTGTGATTTATTTAATAAATATTGTAAGTGCCTATATTTCCTCAGGTATGTCTATGTACAGGAAAGTAAAGCTAATTTAATTTAATGATATGAAGGTAGATTATCTCTTGAACTGATCAGTTGTATTTTGCATGTATTTTTCAACAGCCTGTAAAAAATTAAAATGAAAAAGGATGAAGATTTATATTTTAAGGGGGCTTTTAAAATTAATTTTTTCATAAATTAAAAAAATGAAGCTGAAAATGGTTTAAGAGCACTAGATCTTTACAGAAAAACATATAGAAATTAAAAAAAAAAGTACAATCAAAATCATTTTACCTTAACAAAAGGAACATTATAATGATTGCTCTCACTAGAACCAAAATATAAAGTGAGATTTAAAAACACTTCAGAAGTTGCCTGCAACTCTCTTTGTAATTATCAAGTGGTTCAAATGATGAAACATTGTGTTAGCTGTAATAGATTATATATTCCAGTTATGTGACAGGTTTTTCTTTCCATCTAGCAAAGAAAATTCATTATCTATGCCACAGGAGTAAAGCTAAATCCTTGATTTTAAAGAAGGCATATGAAGGTTACTTGAACGCCTTTGCTTTCTTAAACCACCGATATGTCATTTATATTCTCCAGAAGGAGAGAATTTGTGTACAAGCAAATGTTTCTGTAAAAGAGCAAGGTTTCTAATATTTAGCATATCTATATCTCAGCACATTTTTAACCTGAACTACCATTTGCTTCTTTAGGCACCTATATGGAGAAAACAGATTAAAGCAGGCAGAAAATAATGGAACCAATTCTTCATTGTGAGCAAGATTTGGCCTAATGTGTTGTTAGCTTGAAGGAGAAGGAACTTGGTCTTTTCCATGTGCCTTTAATATAGCTATCTCTTTGGCTTTGCAGAAAAGATGTTGTCTTTGAGGAATTTCTGTCATGAGTAATTTCCATACATTTTTCCACAAATGGGATAGGAGCTCTTGTAGAGTAGGACAGAAAATTTAATTCTGTGCACAAACCTACACTGGGAAGCACAGCAACCAGGCTGAGGTATTTTTGATGTCTGCTTGTTGACACTGGCCAGCACAATATCTGTGGCAGAACATATATCAGAGAGATGACGTGTGTCCTAACTTCAGCGTGCTATCACAAACCACTTGGCACCGTGCAAGTCTCAGAGGGAGAACTGCATCAAGGAGCAGCATCGTTGCAGGGGAAACAGCAGTGAATTACAGAGGAGGCCCTGAAAGGCACGGTTTTTATGCACCAGGTTTGGAAATGTTTCTGCACAGCTGGCTCTGGAGCACAGGCGATGAGCTTGCAGCAGTCTGGGTGGGATGCTGGGCTGGGCGACCACTGAGTGAGAGGAAAGAAACTGGCAAAAGTGAACTACCAGGCTCCTTTATGCAAGTCCCTGCTTTGTGTTTATTTTGATGAAATAACTGTATTGCAGTGTTTTTAATCACTCAAAATTATCATCCTACTTTGTCACCAAAATAGCACAATAGATAATTGATCTGCTCATCCAAAACAGCACAACTCCCAGCAGTATGTTTGCACTAATTCACAAGGGCTTTTTTAAATGAATTTGGGAAGCTATCTATATACCTACACAAAGGTCTTATTTTATTATTAACTGCAGCAATTTCGTACTGGAACCCTAATATTACAGTGCAATTTAGTTGAAACTGTTGAACTTGTGAACTGTTAACAATACAAATAGCACAACAATAGTGAAGAATCCAAACACTTAGCAGCAGCAAACTAATAATCAGTAACACTTTCAGGCCAAATAAGCTACCAGAAAATTAATAATTTTGCCTCCCTCACAGGAACACTACTGGTGTTTCAAGACATTTCTCCTCTGAGGAAAGAAGCTGACTTGTGCCCCAGCCCTAAACCAGGGTGGGTGTCATCTCTGGGCAAAGGTATGCCTGGTGGGGCCCACAAATGTTTTCCACCCTCCTCCCCCTCTTGATGGGCCCACGCTGAACACAGGCTGTGTGTCCCCAGCCTGTCCCAGGCTATGCAAACAAAATACATTTCCAGCACCTCACCCTTGTGGGGTGATTTGCCTCCTGAAGGTAAGGAGCCAGGAGATAAATAAATAGGTGTGTTAGAGCCAGGCCTTGCCTGTACACACCTGTATCAACAAGGACGCAAGCACAATTATCTTACCTTAATGAACTTAATCTTTAATTTCATAGCTTGGCCCTTGTGCTCAACCTCTTAACAAAGGAGCTGAACTGTTTTAGTCCATATGACCACCCTTCCTCCAACAGCTGTGGAAACTTAAAGCCACGACAAGGATTTTTGCCCCTTGTGAAACTGTCAAAAGCAATAAATATTTTTCTTTTTTTCCATCATTAGACCCTGTTAAGAAAGCCTGGCCATTGTCCACTGTAATTCCCAGCGCTTACGGGGCAGGAGCTTTATTGTCCCAAATGAATCCTGAAGTGTGAACAATGCAGGGGAAAGCGGCCACCCTTTTCGGCAGGGTGTAGCCGCGAGGAATGCGGCGCTTCCCCACGGACGGCTCCGCCAAAAGAGCACTTGTGTTTTTTAACACTGGCCTTTCAGGAGGATGCTCGAGTTAAGGCATTGTGGCCCACTGTAAATAGATGCACTCGCCAGAATGGGGCTTCGTCATCCCTAATTAGGGAAGTAACTCCAGAGAGACAGCATGTCACTTGCAAGACTGGGCTCATTGTTGGGTTTGTGCGCGTCCCCACAATGTGAGGTAATTGGAGTTGTACCTTTTAGAAAGCTGCTAATTTCACATAGGAAGTGCTAACAAGACCTTTGTGTGCCATGTTTTCCTTCGTCCTTTCTAAGGAAGTTACAGAGCTCGAGTACTGGGAATGGCTGGGCCAAGGCCTGCCGGAGGAGGCTGCGGTAATGAACCACTTCAGCCCCCCGCCAGAAAAAGGAGGCCTAATTTTCGGGCCTGAGAAGACGAGGACGGACAAAAGGTTCTGTTTAAGCTTATTATACAAGACATTCTCAGTGCCTACACAGCTTTCCTCGAAATGACCCTCTCAAAATAAGTGCATCAAGTTTGAGCAAATAGAAACATGCAACTTTCGAGGCTGGGGGTTATAGTTTTCTTTACAAAGCCATTTATATAATGTAAGCTGCAATTAGCGTGGAACGGAGCAACAAGATCTAGCGAGGAAAGTTCCCCTGACAAAGGACAGAAATTAGGGGAATAAGTAACAGTTAAATATTGGCTTTGGATAACTGGCTGAAAAGGCCTTTTAAATCAGATGTGGATGTAGAAAAATAAAATAATTTTACTCCGAATATCTTTAGCCACAAAGTTTGGCTTTTAAATCGCCAGCTGATTGATTCCACTAATTTCAAATTATCTAGATAGAATGAATCTGGCCTTAAAAAAAAAAAAAAAAAAAAAAAAAAAAAAAAAAAAAAGAAAGAAAAAACTGAAAAGCCTCTCAGCTTTTAAGCCTGACAATATCAGCAAAATGTCCATAGGAATTACATATAAAAATTCAAACGGTAATGAAACAAATTACTACTTACAGTATGAAAAGTCTGCAAAAGCTTTTTATAGACTTGAAATGCAGAAGTTATATAAACTACTCAGTGAAAAGAATTAGAAAATGACCTTTGCAGATCGGGGGCAAAAATGAACAGTCTTCAGGGGAAAAAAAAATTCACTGTTAACAATGGCTTTTAATGCCATTTTGCTTCCCTCATTTATCTAATAATCATGGCAAGGTTAGGGTAAACAATGAACAGTATGTTTTCACATATTCCACCTTTAGTGTCCTCCATATGAATTTCTAAAACACTTAAGAGAATAGATACATAAACCTGTGACCTTCAAATGAGCTTTTTGCTACTTCCAACATTTTGAATAAAAAAGGTCAGAAAATTGAACTGCTTTTGCACAGTAATGAATTCCATTCTGTTGGGTAAACAAAGCTAAATTTTAAAACATGGACCTGACATCTCTATAGCTCAAGAAGCTATTCTCTTCTTTGGG